GGCCTGTGGACGTCTGGAGTTGAGGGAGAGGGCGGGCTGGCGGGATACTGTGAGAACGGGCTCCCGACCCAGCCCTGTTCCCCCAGCACAGGTGGTCTCCAGGCAATGATTTACACCTGTGGGCTTAGGCGGAGCCCACCACAGGACCTGGACCAAGAGCCAGCCCATAACCACGTAGGGAGGGAGGCAGCTTTGAGAAAACCTGGCCCCAAGTCCCGGCAGGTGGGGCCGATGCTAGTGCAGCTTCCCAGGGACCCCCGGCCTTGCTCTGCATGGGGATGCCCCACAAACACCCAGGGCTGAGGGCACAGAGAGGCCCCCGGATGAGGGTTGGGCTTTCTCCCCATCTGAGCTGCTCCCCAGGGCAGAGCTTGGGGCCTCATCTACTTCTTCCTCAGCTCCCAGCCTCTGGGTCCTGGCCACAGTCATCAGAACTGCTGAGTGAAAGAAGGCTCAAGGCCACATCCAGAGGGCAGCCTCTCTGACCTTTGGGAGGCGACAGCACCAGGTCACTGGATTCTCAAAACAGGAGGAATGGACAGAGGAGGAGGATCAGGAGGGGACAGGAGTGAGGGAGGAGAGGCCAGTGGACAGGAGAGGAGAGGAGGAGAGGGAGGAGACGGGTCCAGAGGTGAGGGGAGGGAGGAAGAGGCTGGCGTCCCGGGCTGTCCCCTGGTCCCACAGCCTGGCAGAGGCGCAGCTGACAGCAGGGGGTCTGTGTTCTTGCCACCCGCCTGTCTCTCACCCCCCACATCTAGTCCACCAGCTGTGCCATGGGCTCCACCTTCACACTCTATATGGAATCAGACCCCCTCTTCCCTTGCTGATGCCTCCACTCTGGTCTGGCCACCCTTCTCTGACCCGTGTCTCTGGAAGAGCCTCCTCCAACATCGTCCTCTACAGTCTGTTCCCAGAGCACCCAGAATGACCCTTCCCAAACACTACCGGCATGAGGCCATCACTTCACTAAGCCTCTCCCGTTCCCAGAGTGAAAGTCTTCCTCTCAGGCCGCGGAGTCTCCTCTGGTCTCCTGTGGTCCTCCCACAGCAGCCTCCCTGCTGCTCCCCTAGCAGCCCCAGTAGGCTCGCAGCTGCCTCAGGCCTCTGCACCTGCCGTGACCTCCGCCCAGCTCGCTCTACCCTGCAGGCGCCTCGCTCCTTCAGGTCAGCTCTGACCTCTCCTCCTCAGAGAGGCCACCCTGCCCACTGCCACTGTGCCCTTCCCCAGCTTACCTTTTCTTAAGACTTCTCACCACTTTATATATGTATCTCAGCTCACTGCACCCTCCACTTCCCAGGTTCAAGAGATTCTCGTGCCTCAGCCTCCTGAGTACTGGGATTACAGGTGTGCACCATCACGCCCAGCTGATTTTTGTATTTTTTAGTAGAGACGGGGTTTCACCATGTTGGCCAGGCTGTTATATGTATTAACGCCTCCCCACTGAAGTAGCCGCTCCCTGAGGACCAGGCTTTTGTTCTGTCCACCAGCGCATTCCTGCACCCGGGACAAGCCCCAGCAGGTGGGGGCTCCATGGATACCTGCTGAATAAACGCCTGGCCATGCCTCACCCCTTTCAGTTCCTTAGGGCTGGCTCAGGGAAATTGGTTGGGCCTGGCTGTCCTCCTCAGGCCCAACCAATTTGGCTCTCAGAAGTTCTTAGACCAAAGTGGAACCTATCACAGGGAAGATGGGCAGGAGACCGGGCTGAGTGGCTCACACCTGTAATCTCAGCACTTTGGGAGGCCAAGGCGGGCAGATCCTTTGAGGCCAGGGGTTCAAGACCAGCCTGGCCAACATGGTGAAACCCTGTCTTTACTTAAAATACAAAAAATTAGCTGAGCATGGTGGCGTGCGCCTGTAATCCCAGCTACTCGGGAGGCTGAGGCAGGAGAATCACTCGAACCCAGGAGATGGAGGTTGCAATGAGCTGAGATTGCACCATTGCATTCCAGCCTGGGCAACAGAGCAAGACTCCATTTCAAAAAGAGAAAGATGGGAAGGAAATTCACCAAAACCTCAGAGAGCGAATGACTCCTTTGTGTAATTCCAAATCTGTAATTCCACCTTGACTTCCCCAATCCCTTCCTCACACCTTCCTGATGCCTCCTTTTCCCCCATTGCCCCAGAGCTGGCTACGCCCCAGGTCCTTCAGGGACATTTTCGTTTTTGAGGCAGAGTCTTGTTCTGTTGGCAGGCTGGAGTGCAATGGTGTGATCTCGGCTCACTGCAACATCCATCTCCCAGGTTCAAACGATTTCTCTGCCTCAGCCTCCCAAATAGCTGGGATTACAGGTGCCTACCACCATACTCAGCTAATTTTTTTGTATTTTAGTAGAGATGAGGTTTTGCCATATTGGCCAGGCTGGTCTCGAACTTCTGGCCTCAAGTGATCCACCCGCCTCAGCCTCCCAAAGTGCTGGGATTACAGGCGTGAGCCACCGCACCCAGCCCAGGACACCTCTTAAACATCTCCGTAGTACCTGTTCTCTCTCTGGCCCACCACCTTGGTGCTTATCACCTCAGGGACCCCAGAGGTCTCCAGGGGCCTCATCATCACAGGGCAGTTTCTACAGAGATCCAGAATGATCTTGCTAAAAAAGTTCTGATCTGCTCACTCCCAGGCTTAGCCCCCATCGTTGACCCTCAGGGTTAGGTCCGGATCCAGAGTTGACTGCCTCCACCCTGTCTCCACACTCCTGCTCCCCTGTGAGCTCTTCCTGCTGAGGCTCCTGTCTGACTCTGCCACACACCTGCCGCCAGCCCCTCATGCTCACAGCACCTGCACCTTCTCTCTCAGCCCTCTTGCTTCATTGTGATTCATTGTGTTACTGCCATCCAGACTTCCTATTTTGAGTTTCCACATGCAGCCTGGCTGGACAGAGGCCTTAGCCTCTGCCTTGAGTCCTGGTTTCATGGGAAGCCCTCTCTGGTCTCAGCTTGGATGTCTGTGGGTGGGGAGCAGCTGCGGTGGGTAAGGGGTGGCTGATGAGGATCATAAAGTGTGCTGAGGCTCCCTGGTCCTTCCCTCGGGGATGCCACTGCTGATGCCACTTGTCCCCAGGCTCTAGAGGAACTGGGTCTCTCTCGTCCAGGGTCTGACAGAGAAGAGGCTCTTAGGCTCTGATCTGTTGAATGGTTGAATGGGTCACTCTTAACAGTAACTGTAGGTGATTTTTGTTCTATACATAACTATATTTTCCATAAATAAATTATGTCCTTTTTTTTTTCCTTTTGAGACAGGGGGCTCACTTTGTCACCCAGGCTAGAGTGCAGTGGTGCAATTATGGCTGACTTCAGCCTCAACCTCCCGGGTTCAAGTGATCCTCCTGCCTCAGCCTCCCAAGTAGCTGAGACCACAGGTGTGTATCACCACACCTGGCTATTTAATTTTTATTTTATTTTTTTGAGACAGAGTCTTGCTCTAACCCCTAGGCTGGAGTGCAATGGCATGATCTCAGCTTACTGCAACCTCCAACACCCAGGTTCAAGGGATTCTCATGCCTCAGCCTCCCAAGTAGCTGGGATTACAGGCGCTCACCATGCCCAGCTAGTTTTTGTATTTTTGTAGAGACAGGGTTTCACCATGTTGGCCAGGCTGGTCTTGAACTCCTGGCTTCAAGTCATCCACCCGCCTCAGCCTCCCAGAGTGCTGGGATTACAGGCTTGAGTCACTGCCTATCTTTTTTTAAAAAAACAGAATGGAAAGTAAAAACTTTCCTTGAAAAATCATTCTTACTGAAATGTTGATTAAAAAGTAACACTTCCTGTATCTTCCAAAGCTGAGCAGACACACACCCGGGCCCCACCATCCCTGCCCTAGGTATTCACTCAACAGAAATGCATTCACAGGAGCTGGAATGTTCATAGTGGCACTATTCACCATAGCTAGGACCTGGAGCCTCCCCAAACGTCCATCAGCAGTAACATGGGTGAATACATTTTAACAGAGTCACACAATGGCAAGCTACCATCAGTGGGGATGAACAGCCCCCGACTGCCTGTGGCAGTACAGACAAACCTCGCAAATATGATACTGAGCAAAAGAAACCAGACACAAAAGGGTACCCACTTTATGGCTCCATGGATACACGGTTCAGACGCAGGCCAGAGTGCCCATGGGCTGAGTCCACAGAGAGACTGGGTTCGGGGATGGTAGGTGGAAGGGTCTTGAGGGGTTTCTGGGTGCCGGTGAGTTGCTGTCTTTTTAATCTGGGTGCTGATTGCATGGCTAGGCGAAGCGTGTGCAAAGTCACCCAGTTGTAGACTTTGATTTGTGCAATGTTCTGTGCGTGTGCTTAACTTCAATTTTTAAAAAGTCTTAAAAATAAAACTCATGCCTCCTGGAGCTGGTTAAATCCACCTCCCTTTTCTGTCCGAGGGCATGTGGAGAGCAGGTGGCTGTCCTCCCTGGGGCACAATCACGTGTCCCCTCGTGGGTGCTCCCAGAGTCCCTCCACAGGCTCTGAGACTCCTGAAGCCCCAGACTCAGGGATTTTCTTTCCACTAAGCTCTGGGGTAATTCCTGCTGTCACAGACCAGGCTTCCCTATCGGCCCAGTGTAGCTGCAGGCCCGCCCTCACTGGCTGGGTTATTCCGGGCCTCCCTTGCCATCGGCCACCCCCAGGCTAGGTGCGGAGGCGAGAGTGCAGGGACACAGGCCGCCTGGGTCCCCGAGTTGTGTCCGGCGGCCTCCCTCCGTCTTCTTGCCCCTGGTGGGGGGTGGGAGTGGGGCTTGGAGGTGGGGAAAGTGGGGCTCTCTATTCTCCAGGGTCCCCGAGCAGAGGGCGCGGAAGCCCTGGACCTGGTCTGACCTTGCGCGCCAGCCCCAGAGGTCGCCGCGCTCGGCTGTCGGGGTTCAGGTGCCCGCGGTCGGGCCGCGGGGAGTGGGGGTGGTAATCAAGCCGGGCCCGGCGGCCGGCGAGGGGCGCGGGTCCAGCGCGCTGCCCTCCGCAGCCGCCCCGAGAGGTTATTTATAACCGCGGGTCGCGTTACCTCCTGACCTTAAGCTGGGGCCGGCGATCCGCGGCGATTAGCATCTATCTCCTCCCCGCCGCCCGCTGCGAACAAACACCCCTCTGTGCGCCCTCCCCGGCCCGGCCCGCCCCGCGGGAGGCCCTGCAGGAAGCAGGATGTTGACCCGGAGCCTCCCTGTGCTCCTGCGGCGGCCCAGCCACGTGTGAGTTGCGGGCGGTGGAGTGCGGGTGGGCGGGGGCGACGGGGACCGGGAAGCAGGAGCTAATTGTGTTTGACGGCTTCCCGGGTTACCAGTGTCCTGGTCTATTCTGAGTGGCCGCCTCATTTACAATATAGGGCTCCCCAGCCCGGGTCTGCCCAAAGGGGTGCCCTCTCCTAAGCCAGCCGAGACCAGTCAGCCCTGGTTGCGGCGGCACCTGCACAGGTGGTCCCAGAATGACAGACTGCAAACCGCATCCTCCATCAGCCAGCCCTCGTTCCTCGATGGCAGCTGAAGGGAAGGCGGCTGCATCAAGGACCCACAGCGGACCCGGCTTCTGCCTGATGTTTTTCCCGGCGGCTCCCAGACTCCTGATTCTGGTCTGGAGAAGCCTTGTGAAAGGAGGTTGGGGTCGGACGGTTGGTCTGTTCCTTCAACACATTTTAATTTTATTTATTTATTTTTGAGACAGGGTCTTGCTCTGTCAACCCAGGCTGGAGTGCAGGGATGGGATCATAGCTCACTGCAGCCTCAGACTTCCAGGCTCAAGCGAGCCTCCTGCCTCAGCCTCTGAGTAGCTAGGACTACAGGTACAGGCTACTATGCCCAGCCAATTGTAACAGTTTTTGTAAAGAGGGAGTGCTATGTTGCCCAGGCTGGTCTCAAACTCCTGGTGTCAAGCAATCCTCCTGCCTTGGCCTCCCAAAGTGTTGGGATTACAGGCATGAGCCACTGCACCTGGCCCATTCAACACCTTTTTATAAGGCACCTACTAGGTGCCAGGCACCTTTCCAGGCAAAAATCCTTACCCTGTGGAGCTGACAGTCCAAGGGCTCGAGTCCTTCCCTGGAGCCCGGGGCCCACAATGGAGCCACAGTCTAGGCAGTTGCTGAGGGCCTTGATGTGTGAGTCCTGGGGAGGGAGACTGAGGCAGGGAGGGAGAGGGCCAGGCTGATGGTGCATTGTGGGATTGCAGCTGGGGCTGGGTATTTGCTGAGCAAGGCCAAGGCCATGTGAGACACTGACACCCTGGGCCTGTGAAGGCTTATTTAGGCCCAATAGCAGTGTGCCCCTGCCTAGCTTCAAATGACCTTGCACCCAGGGCAGAGGGTGAAAATCTCACCCAGTCTTGGGAGTCATCCTGGAAGAACTCATGGGAGAGGACCCACCGAGTCAGGAGGTTTGAGGAGTGCAGTGAGGGCGGAGGGAGCCTGGGCTGTTGCCTTTCTGCCATGCTCTCAGGCACTTGGGGGCACATGGGAGTTTGCCTGTGTGACATGACCAGCCCCCGACCAGCCCTTGCCCTCTCTGCACTCCAGCCTGGGTTGACAGAGCAAGACCTTGTCTCAAAAATAAGTAAAATTAAAATGTTGAATGAATGAGCAGTGAAGGGGCTGGTTAAGATGAGCCGTTTCATCTCTGGCTGCCTGTGCTTCCGTCTAGAGAACCCTGCTAGGCGAGACCCTCCCGCCAGAGCCTGGTTCAGGCCAGGTACATCTCGGGGCCTGATGAAGCCCAAGAGGCTGGTCCAGGGTGGACCAGGAGTAGCTGTGGCCGTGGGTAGCTGTCGGTGCCCAACAGCTGACGCCAGTGTGTGAGGGAGGGTGCGCACACGGGGGTGGGAGTCTGCAGTGCTGGGTGTGCCTTGGTGAGTAGGTGGCTGCGCATGGGAGCATGTGCTCGTTGTGTGTTTACATGGGGGTGTAAGGAGTATCAGCAAGTGTGTAGGGTTAGGTATGTATATGTGGGGGTGTGGGTGGATATTGCAGGAGTGTCTTAGCGGTCCTGGGAGAGGCTTGGGGAAGGGGTGAAAGGCCTGGAGGGGCCTCTCCCTCACTCTGCAAACCCCCCTCTGGCCACATGGTCAGCTTGTGGCCGGTGTGCCCTGACCAGTCAATGAACTCAGGGTCTGCAAGAGTCAGCGGCTTTTCCGACCTCTTTGCCAAATGGGATGTCAGCATGGGGGCAGGGATGGCGGGGGTGCAGGCTGGGGAAGGTGGCAATGACTTCATGACCACTGACTGCTGAGCAGGGCAGGGAGCCGGAGGTTGGCTGGGTGGGGTATCTACTCTGGGTGGGGAGGCAGCCAGGCTCATGCTTCCACAGAGCCCCTGGATTTCCCTGCTGGGGAGGACTTCCTGGAGGCTCGGCAGGGGAGCTCCCTTGGACTGAGACCCCTGCAGGGGCTGTTGCATGGGGTCCCAATAAGCCAACAACAGCCCTGGAAGATAAGGCCCCTTGTCCCTATGTGACAGATGAGGAAACTGAGGCTCGGAGAGACCACCACCCAGCTAGAGTGAATGGTGACTGGACTAGGAACATGGGCGGGCATGTTTCCCATGCTGCCCACAGGACACCGCGGGGGCAGGGATAGCCCTTAAAATCCGATCCTCTGGCCTGTAATCCAGCACTTTGGGAGGCCAAGGCAGGCGGATTGCCTGAGCTCAGGAGTTCATGACCAGCCTGGGCAACATGGTGAAACCCCGTCTCTACTACAAAAACACAAAAAATTAGCTGGCTGTGGTAGCGTGCGCCTGTAGTCCCAGCTACTCGGGAGGCTGAAGCAGGAGAATTGCTTGAACCTGGAGGCAGAGGTTGCAGTGAGCTGAGATCGTACCACTGCCCTCCAGCCTGGGCGGCAGAGCGAGACTCTGCCTCAAAAAAAAAAAAAAAAAAAAAAAAAGTCCTATGCTCTGAACCCCTTGAATCCCCCAAACCACAATCCATCTAAAAGTGGCCCTGTCTTGGGGAGGCCCTCCACACACTTCTCTCCATTTCGGGGGCCCATCGGCCACAATAACCACATAGCGAGGCCACTACAAGTCAACAGGAGCCTTTACATCACACGACAGGCTCTCTCCAGTCACATAGCAGGTCCCATCTCCAGCACAGACCAGGCCTGGTTCCTACTTCCAGAACGCCGTGGTCCAGCCCCACATCGCTGACTCACTGGGTCAGGCTGGCGTTGCTCCTCTGTGGGGCTGGTGGGGCTCCAGATCACAGACCTAGGGGTGGGTGTGAGCACTGTCTTTGTACCTAGGAGCTGAGGTCAGCTTTTGGGCTGCTCTTTCTTCAGTCATTTACTAGTTTCCCTTAGAAATAATAACTACCCCTACCTAAGCTTTATAGCTCAGCCAGGACTTTCACAAACATTCTGTCATTCACACCATCCCGCACCAGCCCTGTGATGAGGAGTTAATATGCCCGTTTTATAGAACCAGAAGCTGAAGCACAAGGAAGGAGGTTCTGGAACTGGTCTCAGATCCCACGGCCAGGGAGTGGCGGCCGCTCTGGGATTCCTGGCCCTGTCCGACCAGCACCTTCCACATCAGGGACCCCTCCAAGGAGTGGGCGACTTGTAACTTCCCCGTGGGTGGACTCTGGGCTGCAGCGATCAGCTAGCAGTGCCATCTTTAGTCTGGGAGCGGTGTGAAGCCTGTGCCCACCTTCTCCCGCCTGCAATATTGGGGGAGGGGCACGGAGAAGAGGAAGATAGAAGCAAAAGTGGCAGCAACGGGTGCATGAGAGATCGGGGGATCCGTGCTGGGGAGGGGTCCCCGGAGCAGAGCTGGCTACCCTTGGCACTGTGCCCAGGCGGAGGAGTGGAAGGACCAGTAGGTCCTGGGGCACGGGTCCACCAACAGGTGTCCAGCGCCAACCATTGCCATGTTCTCATCTGCCCGCGGCAAAATGAGAAAAATAGGATTACGGTGAGATTTTTCTAAAGCTAGGTTTACTCAGTCCAAAAGACTGTCCTGTCATCTGAGCTTTTCAATCATGTGTGTGTGCACGCGCGTGTGTGTGTGTGCATGTGTGTGTGCGTGTGTGTGCGTGCACACGTGCATGTACATGAAAGGACCTTTCCTCGGACATTTCCTTTTAATGACCTCAACTCGGCAAAATTAAAAAAACTGGTGACTGGCTGGTGTGGTGGCTCACCCCTGTAATCCCAGCACTTTGGGAGGCCAAGGCAGGCAGATGGCCCAAGGCCAGGAGTCTGAGACCAGGCTGGCCAACATGGTGAAACCCCATCTCTACTAAAAATACAAATATTAGCCAGGTGTGGTGGCAGACCCCTGTAATTCCAGCTACTCCAGAGGCTGAAGCATAAGAATCGCTTGAACCTAGGAGGCGGGGCTGCAGTGAGATGAGATGGTATCACTGCACTCCAGCCTGGGTGACAGAGCAAGACTGTCTCAAAAACAAGCAAACTGTAAACAAATAAAACTAGTGACTACGTCAGATCCTGATTTTTTTTTTTTTTTTTTTTTTGAAATGTTAGTGATCTGAGAAATCTGAAAGGCTGGGGACCCACTGAGCTAGATTGTACACAGCTCTTGGTGAAACCTGGCCTCGGGGGGCGGGCAATGTTTTTTAATTGAGAGATGAATCGGAACAGCTGGAAGCTTCTCCGGGCCGGGGGAGGAGGGGCTGGGTTCTTGGTCCCTGCAGCCCTAGGATATCCCCAGGAAACCTGAGCAGAAGGAACATTCACGTAGCCGTACTGGGAATTCTGAGAACGGCCCAGGGGCCAGTTCCCCATGCCACACGCCATCTGCTCATCCCTGACGGGAGCCAGGAGGAAATGTTCCCTTAAACCGCACCTCTGCCCTCGCCCAGCACCCACAAGGCTGGTTCCAAAATAGTCCAGGCCTTTGGAGGAGACATCATGAGTCGGGTTGGCTGCCTGTCCCCTGAGAGGACATGGCAGTAATGCTGTGGCCAAATATAGAGGGACAGTAGATGCTGACAGGGGCCCTGGGGCCAGGAGAGCCTTGCATGTTCCACGGTGCCTGCCCCACCCCCATGCCTTCTACGCCCTGCACCTCCTAACCTGGACGGCTGGGAGGCTGGCACCCCTCTCCTGGCCTGGTCCAGCCCAGCCCACCTGGGGACATGTCCTAACAAGC